TCCCTTGTCGATTGTTCTACTGTATCAGTGAACAAAATTGCCACGGACACACTTCGCACACTCCCAGAAGAGTGAACGCTGTTTAAATTACACATGGGGAGCCTCTGAGTCCTAACTTACATTTCACTTCCTTCTCAATGTAATTGCAAGTTTTGGTTATTATGAACAATTGGCTATGATACACTCTTTTATGTGAACGCAGTTTTACCCAAAAGTAAAAGCACTCACAATTTGTTTTTGAAGGCCAATACTGAAATGTTCTGATGTTCCTCTGGCAGAGTTATAATTTCTAACAGAATAACAATACCGATATATTGTACATGGCATAACTGAAACAGCTGAAGTGTATAATAACAGTGCAAAGGGAGAAATGGCAAACTACTTGTTTTGCAAATGCAGGGAAATTGTGTTTCATGATCTTTGGAGTAAATGTGAAATCAAAACAATGGATGAAATTTGTGGAATCTTGGAAAGCAACTACATCATGTGTGATATGTGAATGATAGTCCAAAGAGTTCCTCCTGTGTGATTTACTGCGATTATTTCTAGTTTCAACTGTGAAAACAATGTAAAAGTTCAAAACGTTGAAAAGCTGAATGAAGGAAACGTGCCTGTTCGGATGCAAATAGGAATATCCAACTACAGTCTCCGATTGACCATCACGTTAATTAAATATTTTCACCACAAGTTTGAAGAGTCACCATGTTCTTCCTGAACAATAATAATGTTCCACCCATCCATCCATATTCCGATCCACTTTTCCTCACAGGGGTCGCGGGGGGTGCTGGAGCCTATCCCAGCTGCCTTCGGGCAGTAGGCTGGGGACACCCTGAACCGGTTGCCAGCCAATCGCAGAGCACACACAGGAGAACAACCATGCGCGCTGACACTCACACCAAGGGACAATTTTTAGAGTGTTCAATTAGACTGCCATACATGTTTTTGGAATGTAGGAGGAAACCGGAGTACCCAGAGAAAACCCACGCAGGCCCAGGGAGAACATGCAAACTCAACACAGGGAGGCCGGAGCTGGAATTGAACTCGGTACCTCTGCAATGTGAGGTCAACGCGCTAACCACTGGGTCACCGGGCCGCCCAATAACGTTTTTATTATTATTATTATTATTATTTAATTAA